ATATCAAATACATTCACTCGGACTGCATTCAAATGTGATGCAGGAAAAGACAAAATATATCACATGTTGTGTCATCATCATCATCATCAGTAATGGGTAGAACGAACTGTTCTCAGCAAGTTTCAAACTTGCCCGTGATGAGTTTTTATTTTCTCCTCAACACTTATCTCCAAAATGGAAATAGAGTGAGGAGTAAACTCGTGCAACACCCTACTGATGTCTCCATGATGATGGAAACTGGAAACGTCAGTTTAACCTGCATGATTTAAAAGTGTGAATTGATTGAAATTTATAGATTTTGTTAACTTATCCTCACTATATTTCAAAAACTAATAATTTTATCATTAAAAATTGCGTTTAAAAATATACTACGTATTTTGAATTGAAATGAATTTTTTTTTTCTTTCATTTTTTATAACAGCGAGAATTTGATAAGAGATGAAATTTTGGAAAGCAGGAGGGAAAGAATTAGCAAATGTACATCTTTTGTTATTGTTATTATTAACTTCGTTATCTGCATGATACCTCGCTTTTTTTCTTTTGTTTGAAATGTTTAAGGATGAAATATAACGTTCAATAATTACTTATTCTAATATTTCATGTTAAAGATTAATAATTTAGGAAATTTCGACAAATTAAAATTAAAATAAATATTTGTTAGTACAATTATTAGGACAATTCTAGAGTATTAATTATGTGTCGAATATTTTCATTGTACTATTTTTCCACGAATCATTATCAGTTTTTTTTCACGTATTAACATCTGCGTTCCGAACCACGTGTGATTTTATTTTGAAAATTTTTGAAGGAATCTTTTTTTCTTTTTAAAATTGAGTTGCTTCATAATGGAATATACCAAACTTTATTGCCCATAATGTAAATTAATGATTCTTTTTCCTTTCACTTTATATTGTTTTTCTAGAATTAAAAAATTAATGCCTATTTGCAAGATATAATTCTTGAGTATATTAACAACCCCTTCGAAGTTTTCATTGAAACTGATGTCCTTGAACTGAAATTTAAAATCTTTAATTTGGTTTTTATGAATTGTTATTAATGTTTGGAACTTGCACTGTTTTTAACTAAAACAGGGAAAACAACTTGCTTTAGACTTGCACTGTTTTTTTATTAAAATTGAAACAGGTAAAACAATTATTGCTCATCCTAAAAGGACAATGGAATACCACGTGGGATTTAATTTTTTAAAATTTGAAATGATTTTTTTGATCTAAAAATGGGTGGCTTCATACTGAAGCACACCAAAAGTTAAGGAAGCTGACTTAATTAAAGTAACACTTTCTTATTTCACTTAATTATTCGTGTTTTCGCGATTTAAAAATTAATTTTTGCGAGAGCTAAAATTTTTTGTTCTTCACCCTTTCGAATACCAAGGGGAACCTCTGAATCGAAATATAAAAAAGCTAAACATTGGGGACAAGTTCATCGTTTCGGGGAAATAAAAACGAGAACGTGTCATTTATGTGGAGGGAGCTGACTTTCAGTTATTTAACGACTTCAAACTTCACATTGAGTCTCATGTCGGGTATTTCATCTGCATAACATGCGGTCTTTGTTTTCCTGACGAATCGTCGCTTTACATCAATATTATTGAGTCACATCGTAAGATTGAAGAAGAATTGCGACTGTTTGTTTATCAACGAAAGCTCAACTTTTGATTCACATGCGAAAACATTTTTCTGGTGACCACTACATGTGTGATGTGAGTAATGAAATTAAATGATTTGCTTGTAATTTTCTAATTGAAACTTTTAATAGATTTGTGGGAAATGTTATAAACTCATTGCGCCGTTTCTTCATCATATAAAGTGTCACGATAATAGATTCGATTTTCCTTGTCGTTACTGTGAAAAGAAGTTTCGAGTAAGTCGTGATCGGATGCTTCATGAACGAACACATACTGGAGGTGAATATATTCTTTTAATTAACTTAATTAGACATTAAAATATTTTCTCATTGACAGAACGACCGTACAAATGCGAGCAATGCTTTAAAAGTTTTTCACACAAAGCGAACTACTTCAATCATTTGAAGACGCATGAATCGAAAGCATTCATTTGCAAGACTTGCGGCTTACAAGTGACGTCTGAAACGAAACTTCGACAACATATTGATAACGAACATCCAGAAGAACGACCATTTTGTTGTTGTCATTGCCGGAAACCTTTCAAAGCGTCGCACACTTTAGAAACCCACAGGCAGAAATGTGAAGTGTCACTTGGTGTTCATGATAACAAAAGATTTTTATTAGCAAAATTTTAATGAATTCTGGAAATGTATTAGATAGGTGAAAATACTTAACAATAAAAGTGTTAGATATTACAATGTGATCACAAATTATGATTTTTATGATTAATTTCAATGTTTTCATCAACGAAAATTATTTTTTAACAATGCAAATATCTTAAATTACCTATGAAAGAATTCTTGCAGATTTTTTTCTTTGCACAATCACAACTCTGAGAAATCTTGCTCAAAATGATATGAAGAAGTTAATGGACAGAAAAAGATGAAAAGTCTGCATTAACAAAATTGAAAAACAATAAAACTTTTATTATAAAAGTGAATCATGAACAATCTGTTGATATCAGTATGACTGAAAATCAGATGAAAAAATCATCAATCGCGCACTTTGGCAACTTTTTTTTCATTAATCTTACTAAAGCGATTTAATCTTTTCTCAGAAAAGATTTGGGAGGTCTAAAAGTTAGGGAAGAAGAATGAGGAAACTCTTAAAACATTTGTTTTTCATTAACCACAAAATATTTTCAATAAAATTTATTTAATTTATTTTTCTTTTTTTGCATTTATTCATCATAAAACCGAAGTTCCTTTTAGCTTCAACAAGTTTTTTCACGTTTTCTGGTTGGTTTATCAATTTGTCTTTCAATGGTTCATCAAACGCTGAAGTTTTCATCCCATCACAATTGAAACGACAAGCAAGTTCGAATATTTCAATCGCGTTGTCATTGCTTAGACCGTTTATGATAATCCCTTCAACAATTGTCATT